CTCAATGCTGCTCATACGCTTGGCCTAGAGCGATTGCATCGCGGTGGACAAGCGATGGAGCGATCGCGTCGCTCCGGCACTGGTCCATCGCGATGCAATCGCAGAGTCTGACCGACATTCACAGTTGCAAAAAACGTTACTGAGGCGAGCTTACCTGATGGAATCACAGTCGCCGTGGCTCTGCGCCAAAAACGAGTCTCATATTCGTAATCAGGGCACCCATTTACCCTTATAGAACAAGTTCCAGGCAAAAAGCATTTCCACATAGGTTGCACCTCATCATTAGCGTTCTTTTGCAACTTTTAAGGCTCACAACTTTCTTACAAAGTTCACGTAGCAGTTTTAGTGTCCATATTTGTAATCAGCGTCCAAGACTATCGATGTACCTAGGTCTCCTTTCAAAGTTCCATGGGAAGTTTAAAACATCTCTGGTACGAGGCACAATGCAGGCATTATAGCAAAATTCTCCCTTAGGTCCTTATAATAGCACAACATATTGAAAGGTACGCAATGAGATATCTATTGCGCGTTGGGAAAAATTCGAAATCCGGGACGACTTTCGCGTGGAATAGGTCTCATGGGTGGCCGTCCCGTGAAGGAGTTCCCCTGGGTGAGCTCCCTGGAGCTCTCCTAGATGACCTCCTCGTGAACGAAGTTCCCCGAACGACCCATCACTTTATGGTAGATGGTGTCCATAGTATTGTTAGGTATAACAGATGTGGTACGATGGCAAGACAGCACTAGGGCGATCCAGAACAAGACAAAAACTCGAGACTGATACGTCGAGAGAGCACCCCGATCTCTACGTTCATCGCTATGGGTGGGAAGAGTTGCAGCGGGGTCGATGGTTGCAGGCCTTTAGGGATTATTCGCCCTAGCGCAAGCTGTGCGACGAAGCCGGCGTGGCCTACGTAGGTACGTACCCCAACATTTCCTTAGCGGTACGGTACTTTCTATTAGTCAGACTAATCGCGGGGCTTTCCTTTGATATGCTGACGAGCTAAATGCCACATCCAACCATTTCACCATAAAGAGCTCTATTGACTATTTCTTTAAACAGTGCTATTCATAGATATTATAAAATTTGCTTGTAATTGCCGGGATATTATTTAGAATAAAAATGCGCAATGAAGAAAATTTCAAGGTGGCACCCATCATTGGCTGCCACTGTCCCCACACAGGGCGGACAGGTTGGCAGCCACCGGT